CCCATAAACACAAATTACATTGATTTGAAGCACAAAGCTTATAGCTCGTTTGAATAGTTTCCATTTGATTGTATAAGTATGGATTTTCTGAACAAAATACCTACAAATATAAACGAGAAAACAATATTGGTATCATTCGACGTCATCAGCTTGTATACAAGTATCTCACATGATCTTGGACTCACAGCAATCGAACATTGGTTGGACAAACACCGTGAATCATTGCCATGACCGTTCCCTGAAGAATTTATTTTGAAGGCGATTTCAATTGTCCTAAAGGAGAATATACATTTCAATGTGATGACATTAACTATAAACAAATACAAGGAACAGCAATGGGCACTAAAATGGTCCCAACGTACGCCATATTAACTATGGGTTTCATTGAAACACAACTGTACGAAAGGTTCAAGGAAAAGTATGGACAAGACGAAAAAGAAAACTTCATGAAATTGTTTAAACGTTTCTTAGACGACTGCTTTCTACCCTGCCAGAAGACAGAAGCAGAACTCGAGGAACTTCATAAAATGTTAAATTCACTTCATCCAAAAATACAGTTCACGATGGCCGGAATATGACAATTATATAACAAACTACCGCTTTTGGATATATTACTGACAAGAACGCGGAAAGATTAGAAAGTGATATACATTACAAACAAACGGACACGTGCACCAATATCTTGATTATCATTCACGTCATCCTGGACATACAAAATCAAACATTCCCTACACACTAGCCTGCGTAGCAGGCGTTTAGTGCGGGTGGAAGCACTGGGAGAAGAGAGGGCGTCGTTAAATAAACGCCTGCCCAAATGCCTATGACAAATTTGTTCTTGACCGAAGAAACTTCGGAAAAGCTTCCTATTGGCCAATCTCGTTAACGGAAGTAATTACGTAACTCAAATGTCAACAATAATTTTGATCGCGTATCGAAAATATGCCGCCTGTTATAAATGTTTTCGAGGAAACTCTATCTTATATTTCAAGTATTTAGAGAACAGAGAAAGTCTATTATTAATTAGCTACGTGGTGAAGACGCCAGTTATCGCGATTGATCCTACGGAATACGGAAAAGATTGATCTTTCAATTATCGAATATTTCTTATAGTTGTCTTGTTTTTTTATCACTTTAGAGTATAATTCAAGACCAGATAGTTTAGGCTACATCAGGGGCGGATCCAGACCGATGTAAACGAAATCATGTTGCTTGAAATATATAGATATATAATGTCGCCAATAGTCAAAGCACTCAGTAATAAAATATCTCCTATCAGTCCGCAAATCTTTGCTTTAGTCTCAACAGGGGCGGATTTAAACACAAAGTAACAAAAAACACACAATAACTCAGTTCTTGGTATCCGTGTTCAAGTTTCTGCTTCATGAAACGTGGCCGTTTTGACATAGAAAAGTCGGCCTTCGCGACTGCCGAGTACATTTAATATTCGCAACCGGTTCCTATTTTTAATAACATATTGCACCGACGCAATATGACTTGGCAGATTAATATCTTCGGTTAGGCGAATGCTATGAAAATAAGAATACTACCATTCGGTTCATTGAAAGAATATCTCCTAATTCCTAACAATAGTTTTAGTCAAAGTCAACATGATAGCGATTTATGAACTTTGAGAGGTTAAGCAGTGTCAGTGTGATGTCAGTGTCATGTGTCATGTCTCATCAGTGTCGGGTTTCATGTCGGTAACACAAGAGTCAAAGCGCAGTGCGCCAAATACAAATAATTATTTTAAAAAAACGCCCATCAAGTCTAATCAGAACAAAAAAATGGAAGATAAAAGTACACAGAAGGAAATGAACAAAAATTTGGGAAGCGAAGTTAAACTACAAGATATATTTGAGTTGATATCTGGTATGAGCAAGAAGATGGACAAGTTGAATATCATCCACGAAAATATGGAAAATATACACACGAAATTGAAAGAAGAAGTAAGCAATTTCATATATTTTACTATATTACTCAATTTTCTCGAACAATGTAAACCATACCTTTCGCCGAACATAACTTCGGCCCCTTCGGACATATCCTTTTCGTAATAGTCTTGTTCGAATTGGCATCCAAAACACTATTTATAAAGTGTTTTTTCAAGGACGTCTCCTGAAATTATGTAAGGCCATCGCTACATTAGAAGAATGCGGCTGTTAGCAATATGAGACGAAGTTTCCGAGCGGTTCACGATTATTTCATTTCTTATTTTCTTGCGCAATCAAAATACAGTTATACAGCCACAGTATCAGAGGGTATCCGACGTCATAGATACATTTCCTGTGATTGCCTTTGTACTGATATTTTGTTGACGTTAGATAAAATAAGTAATATTAATCTCTAAGTTAATTAGTTAAAAATAAACAGTGGATATGATTGACAGTTTGCATGTTTCATGAGTCGAAAATAACATGAGGACAAGGCATGTGCTTAGCAAAAGATACGACGAAGCAAATGTAGAATAAAATGTGTTAACCCGCCAAGAAGTAAGTTCATATTTGTGTATTAGAGTATGTAGTGTAGAATTAGAAGTAATTTGTAGCTAATTGTAATTCAATTTATAGATCGAATAAAAACAGTGTAAACAATATACGATTTGACGGGCAATGTATTCATTTGATCGGACCACAAATTCGATTTCCAATGCTAACCTGGCGTCCGTAAGAATTATATAAACGAAGTAAACTTGTGTGCTAACCAGAAGCTAACCATGGCTGAAGCGAAAGCTTTATCTGAAGCGAAACTAAGACGTAGAACTGCTAAAGCCTCGATTTACTACAAAACGATAGACCCCCAGGCGAAATAACCGAAGCCAGTTTGCAAAAGGTGAAACAGGCGTATAATGATTTAGTCGTTAATTAAACATGAAGAATATGCCTAGAACATTGAAAATGATGAGGAATTCGAAACAGATGAAAAATGGCTAGAAGAAAGTCAGGATGCGTATCTTCAACCAGAATGTACAACAAATGATTATATTATGAATAAAAACATGCAACAGACATTGAGCGGAAGCAGAGGAGGAGTGATCACTATACCACAATGCATCGCTTCTCATTAATATTCGGAATTGAACTTTGCGAGTCTTTGAGAAATGTTTGTCAAAAAATTGTGGTTTTCTATCGCGATTTTTCACTCTGAAAATTTTGATTTTTGGAAGGTACGTTTTTATAATTGTTTTATTTGTGACTTTAATTGCACGATTTTTGTTTTATGTGGTTGTCGTGTCATGTTTCAGTTATGTTAATCACGCATTGAATTAACCTTATTTTCGGGTCAGTGCTCATGTTATAAAAATGGGTTGATATTCGCCGGGGGTTAAATACTTTTTAAATCAGGAAATTCAACAAAACACAAATAACCCCCTCGAACTGACGAGTTATCGCTGTTTGAAAATGGGGTATATTTCTGGGCTATAAAAGAAATGGCATTGATATACGCAGAGGGTTAAATAGTTTATAAATCAGGAAATTCAGCAAAATTCACATCATTGAATTCGGGGAGGGTCATAATTCTAGCTGAAACTTTAAAACATTAATAATCTCTTCCAACCGACGAGTTATCGCGGTTTGAAAATGGGGTATATTCCGGGTATAGTGCCATGACACGAAAACGGCTTTGATATACGCAGGGGGTTATTAGGTTTATAAATCGGGAAATTCAATAAAATTCACATCATTGTATTAAAGTGTATATGACATGAAATTTCTTATTTTCTTAAATGAAAGAACTCGATCTTTAAGTTGTAGTGTAACTTATTTTTTAGTTTCTTGTTTTGATGGTTTGTTCCCGAGATACTTCCGTTGTTTGATATGTAAATGAGTGTGAATTTGTCCGCTAATTTATGACGTCATGTTGGTTGCAAGCTTTTCAAAATGGTTGAATATCACTGCTATCATGCAGATGATAATTTCAAACTTCACTCACTGGTAAATGTGATGAAACACTGGAGAAAAACGTGAACTGATATCAACAGTTTTTATAGTTAATACATTTATAACCAACCAACATGACGTCATGATAAATTAGCGGACATATTTACACTCATTTACATATCAAACAAATTGAAGTCTCGGGAACAAACCATAAAAACAAGAAACTGAAAAATAAGTTACACTACAACTTAAAGAGTTCTTTCATTTAAGAAAATAAGAAATTTCATGTCATATGCACTTTCAGTAAGGGTTACTCTTTCTATTGGTACCTTAAAACATAAATAACCTCATGAAACCGACGAGTAATCGTTGTTTGAAAATGGGGTATTTTTGCTTTTGTTGTACCTAATCGCGGGAAAAGAGGATTCTACAGGAAATATGGCGCGAACGCGACGTAAACAAACCAGCTTCAAACGTATTGTTCGAGCTTTGACTTTGTTTCAAAGTCCTGGCACATCAGCAAAGGTATAATAAAAACACTTATGGTAGACGGAGTTGTACTTAAAACTTTGTTATTCTTTGCCATTCTATTCTTATAAATTGTCTTTGTATATTCAGTGTAAATCTGGAGTAATACGAGCAACAAAATTGCTGCAAACTTGCAACAAAATCTGATTTCGACGCATGTTAAATTTCGACGCATGTTATGATATACAATGAACAAAAAGAAGACCGTGTCCTTCAATCCGCCATATTTCTCATTCTTGTTGTTTTCATAGTGAAGGTCAAGTGAACAATAAACGCCCGCTCGTGGAAAATCAATAGTATATAGTTAATCGGAATAATCGCAATACATCACGTATAGTGACCACTCCTCCTCTGGGGCGGAAGTGTTGAACAACCGGAGGCGAGTAGTGGAAATAGCGGAAGTGAAGCCCAAACGGACACTGAACAGTCGGAAACAGTCGGAGATACTTCGGCAACTGAACAGCAAGCTGTAAATGTGAACAACCAAGAAGAAACTTCTGAAAATAATGCTCAATCGAGTAATAATGTCCAAAAAAATGTTCAACAAAGCACCACAACACCCTGTGGATTAAAGGTGGAGTTTCAACTTTCAACATGGCGGTCATGCCAAGTGATAGCTCCGATAAAAATATATTAAACCAGCTCCAAAATAATTTCTTTAACGTTCAAGACAAGTACAAGGTGCTTGTTGAATATGACAGTAGCAATGACAGAGTGAAATGGAACGGTAACTTTGAGAATTTGAAAACTTTTGTGGCCGATTTGTTTGGCGAACAAAGCAAGTGGATTTCTCCTGGCGGGCGAGCAAAATCCTTTCGCAGTAGCCAAGTCTCAATTACCTGGTACCCTCTCAAAAAGTCACTTGTGTTTCAAGGACAAGCTGGTATTAAATTGAAAGATTTGATTATCGGTTTGGCTGGCTCAAATATGGCGAAAGACTGCGGAAATATTACTCTGAGTAGCGTTATAGATCAAGAAAATTTTGACCAGCTAGCAGGAAACGTTACTAACATTGAGTTGTCCGTCAAACAGATTGGTGTTGCAATGAAGAAACTCGATAAAGATTTCCAGCTGATGGCAAACTATATAAAAGATCGCGACACTAACCTTAGAGACACGACTCGTGATATTGGTGTTCAAACAGACTTTGACTTGGTAAGTGAAATGCGTGCCCAAAGCCAAACGGTTTGTTCTGTCTCGCATAGCGAACTCTCAACAGAATTAGAGGGAGCCAAGCTAGACATTGTTTTGATGGAGTCTAAAATTGTTTGTGGTCTTCTAACAAATACCCAAAAAATGGAACAAATTCGTGTTGAATTAGTTGATCAAAACAAGGCT